TCAGGGGTCTCCGTCCAGAGAGGCCAGCAGGCAGGTCCTCTGACCAGTGCCCACCCATAACCTTCTCCCCTGTTTTGTTCAGGCTGGCAGTGCACTCAGCTTAAAATGCTGCTGTCCTACCAAGAATGGCATGGGATGCAGTTCTGGCCAGTGAGATGTGAGCAGAAGTGCCTACTGCTCTCAGGGACAGACCCTCAAAGGGAGCTGACTCCCCTGGTGGGGCAGCACTTCTGTGCTGCTTCTCTCTCTGCCTCCTTCTTCCTGGTCGAATATGCATGAGATAGCTGGAGTGCCCGCAGCCATCTTGGGCCATGAGGTGAATGTGAGGATGGACTTTAGCTCTAAAAAGTGGCACAACAGGGTAGGAAGTGGGTCCTTGATGATGCATGGCCCCATGTCAGCCCTGGACAGCCTGGGCTTGTGTCATGCGAGACAGAAGTACATTTCTATCTTGTGGAAGGCTGTGTTATTCTGAGTTTCTATAATGCAGCTCCAACTAGTCCTAAAGGGCAGACAGCCAAATTGGTCCGAATGTTCCCCCAGCAAGGTAGGAGGCCACTCCAGGATTGTGCAAAACACTCCATGGAAAAAAGGTTCCTAGTTCCAATAAATCCTGGGTCTGCAGCTGGGCCTTCTGTCTCTGGGAGGCTCCCACACACACCAGAATGAGAAGGGCCCTGGGACCCCCTGCCTTGGAGGGGGACATTTGTTGGCTTTATTTAAATAGCTTTCCCAAAACCTACTTGACCACAGAACGCTCTCCTCCAGAAACACCTAATAACAGAAGGTCCTTGGGATTCCCTGGCACCTGGTTTGGGAAGGTGCACTCACAGATGCTGGGCTGCCGCTGGGTACACAGTAAGTGCTCAATAAATGCTAGAGCTGCTACTGAAGCTAGAAATGGGGCCTATGTCAACTCTATGAGCATGGAAGTCAGGGCCCCTCCAGCCCCCTCATGCCTGCCTGTTCTGGGGCTCTGGCCTCTGGCTTGCCCTTTGTCTCGGCCCCTGGGGGTCAGCTCACTCCTGCCCATTCCTTCCTGGGGCAGACTGACCTCAGGGCTGCCTTCCTCTCCCAGAGCTGGGGGCTGCTGCTGAATCAGGTGGGGTCGAGCCGGGAAGAGTCCGCCGGCAGAGCCTCAGCGGTGAGGAAGCCGCGGGGTAAAAAGTTGGTAAGAGGAATGCATTTCTTTTTCTTTTGGCAGAATTCAACGGGTGCAGATTGCTCAGGTCCCAAAGCCATGGGGAAAAAAAAGAAAAAGCCCTTTGCCGCTGCTATTGATAACTTGTCTCTCTTCACGTGGTGGGTTCAAAACTAAAAATACTCTCCTCCAACGATGGGGAAGCCGAGTGCTGTCACGTTGCAGAGATGAGAAAGTTGCATGGGGAAGGATCTGCTTGGGCCACGTGATGGCCGGGGCCAGGCCTCGGTGGCCAGCGCTCTCTGGCTGTCCTGGCTGCATCCAGAGGAAAGCTGCCCCAGCATTCCACAGAAGGGACTGGAAGATGTCCTTTCCAAAGGCCTGGGGGTGGGGCAGGGAAAGGAGTGAGTTCAGGCCGCGCCCCGCGCAGCGTAAAGGCCAGACCAGCAGCACTGGGCGCCCAGCACTCTTGAACAACCAGCCCTGGTGGGCTAACAGACCTGCTCTGCAGTGGGCAAGTTGCTCTGCTCCCTGAGCCTCAGTTTCCCCGTCTGAAGGGGGAGCGATCATCTCTGTTCTGCCTCCTCATGGTGAGACAGACGGAAGGAGGACAATGCAGGTGAATGTGCTTCCTGAGGGCAGGTCGGGGCGCATGTGCCCACAGTTGGGGACTTTTGGAGCCCAGGCTCTGGGCCCACAGGTCAGCCACCCACAGGGTTCGTGGGTCATGGTACCAACTGATGCTCGTGCAGGAGCTCGGACTGGGAGGATCCAATTTTGGGGTGGTGAATGACAGGCAGACGTGACTGTAGGGTTTGCTCTTGGGCTTGGCCTGGTCTGAGAGCAGTTCCAGTGGGAGCAGACACCCCGAAAGTTATCTACTAGCCCAGCACTTCTCAAAGCTCTGAGAGCACATACATGGATGGACTCTGGGAGCCAAGCCAGGCCTGAGTGCTCAGGATGGAGGAGACTCTGGGACAAGCCTCCTGCCATGGGGAAGGTGATCAGTCAGTTGATATCAGGACCCATGAGCCCCCCAGAGGTCCCAGCCACCCAGGAACACCTGGGCGTCTTACTCAGGTGCAGACCCCAGGCAGAGAGGTCTGGGAAGATCCCAGCCTTTTCAACAAGCTCGTGGCCCATGCTGGGCCGTGGGTCTGCGTCTTACTCAGGTGCAGACCCCAGGCAGAGAGGTCTGGGAAGATCCCAGCCTTTTCAACAAGCTCGTGGCCCATGCTGGGCCGTGGGTCTGCGTCTTACTCAGGTGCAGACCCCAGGCAGAGAGGTCTGGGAAGATCCCAGCCTTTTCAACAAGCTCGTGGCCCATGCTGGGCCGTGGGTCTGCAGAACCACGCGGTGCCTGGACCACTTCCTCCCCGCAGGCCTGAAGTGAGTCACTTTCCCGGGCCTGAGGCTCAGTCTGTGCCCCTGCACAGTGGACCTGGCACACAGCACCGACTTGATTGGCTGTTGCACACACATAAGCCCCTGGACCCTGGAGAGCACCAGCTGTCATCAGCACCATGATCACTGCACGGCCCCAGACCCTCTGTATCCTCTTCTGCTCCTCTCTTCCACCCCATTCTTAGAGAATTTTGCCTCTGGAATCAGCCTCTTGACCCAGTGAAGATCATGAAAATTGCTCCTGATTTGGTCCCATGCACCATCCTTCCAGCCATCAACCGAGAGGGGATCCCCACTCAATCCTGGCCATGAGGATCAGGGAGGACCAGCCGCTGGCCCTTGGAATTTGGTTTATTGCATCTGTTTAAAAGTGGGTAAACTGATACCCCAGCTGCAGAGCCCAACTGTGGTCAGACCCTACCCGACCCCAAGGCCAGGGCAGAGGTGGTCCAGCTCCGCCCCAGGGTGGTCCGTGGGCAGACAGGAGACACTGTCCACTCAAGCCTCTCCTCGGGCCGTAAGCTCTCTGATGTGGCACTCGCCCCAGAGGTCATGGCCGAGGGGTGGGCCAGTAGGTTGAACCCCTCCGGGCATGTCCTTTGCATTAGGTCAGAGTCTTAGAGACTCATCAGGGTGACGGATTGTGGTTCCAGGACCCTGCACCGGACTTGGGCCAGGCCCACGAGGGAAGCTTTGGAGCATCTCCATGGCAACAGGCCTTGTCCTTGTCCTGGCTTGGGGGCTTGCACGCACCTTCCACGCCTGCTGGGGTCGGTTTCTTCAGGGGTAACCATGGCAACGCCTTTGTTTCTGAGGCCTGGCCCCGCCCCCTCCCGGTTTCTCTCTACAGCAGAGGTTGGGAGAGCTCCTTTTCAGTCCCAGCGCACCAGCGGCGCCGCTGACAGGGCCCACCAGTGAGCCGGGCCAGCCTCTAGGATGGGGGATGACAGGCTTTCTGGGCCCAGAAATTCAGCCTGGGCCCCACCCCGCCAGAGACCCCATCCACTCTCTCAGGCCCTCATCTTTAGGGGGCAGCCAAGACCTGCTCCTGCCCTCAAGGCACCCCTAGTCCCGCTGGGGGCGACATGTCAGTCCCTCCTCCTTGCTAGAAATGAGGAATCACGTTCTGAGGAGGGAGTGCAGAGGCTCCAGTGGGTCTGGCTTTGTGGAAGAGGCAGCAATGAGCAGAGCCATTTCAATGTACCACGTGGTCATGGGTAATCTATCTGTACTCTCGGGGTTGCAGGGACCCGGTACTCCTTTGTACTCTAACAGGCTTAAGCAGCAAAGAAAACAGAATAGCTCATATAACTGAAAAGTCTAGGGCAGAGCTTGCTTCAGGTGTAGCTCTTCCAGGTGACCCACGATATCTGCTTTTGCGCTCCTCTGGGCTGGCTTCATTCCTTGGTGGCTCCTCCCCTCATGGTGGCAAGATGCCCACTAGTAGCTCCAGACATGCACCCTTCTCTCACCCAGCCTAGTTCTTTCTGGAGAGGTCTGTGGGTAGATGGGAGAGTCATTTGGCCTCAGCCTTCCTTCTGGCCTGAGCTCTCTGACTCCCTGCAGAAGTCCCAGGGCTGACCCTCATTGGCTAGGACAGGGTCTCTTGCTCACCCCTGAACCAGTTGCCGTGACTCTGAGCAACTAGCCGGGTGCCTGTTACTCCAAACCAGACCCATGATTTAAATGGGATGAGGGTGGGAGAAATATGGTTTGCAAAGGAAAATCTGGGTGCTCATAGGCTCAGGGAGATTATTCAACTTGCCCAAAGCCACACCGAGCTGATAAGGATGCAAGCTCAGGGTCTGACTCCAGAGCTTCTGGGCTCAATCACGGAGCCACTACAGATCAGCGGGTTTTAAACAGAGGAATGAACTGTCAGGAATGCAGCCAGAGGGTAAACTGGTGCTGGGTTTTGATGAGAGATGAATGGTATGCCAAGGAAGGTGGACGATGGGGAGCCCTGCAAGACGCTTGAGCTGAGGGAGACAGCTTTGGGAGGATGATTCCCGCCTCCGCCCGTCCCTAGGGGTTGGGCACTGCCGGCGCAGAGCTACCTGCCCGCGGAGCGCCCCCGCCACCTGACTCGCTGTTTGTAAACTCAACTCGTCCAGCCACGCCCCTTCCTCCCTCTCTCCCGCCCCTTTAGGGTCAATATCTGCATAACCCCGCCTCTCCCTGCCGTGACTGGCTGTCCGTGACATCACTCTTCCTCCTGGGCGGGACTCCCGAGGGGCGGGGGGGTTGCCGCTCCCGCGAAACTAGTAGCATAGTCCCGCCTCCCGGCGCGACCCTCGGGCAGGGCGCTGATTGGGCGGGCGGCGGCTGACGCTCTGGCGCCGGGCGCTGCGAGTGGCGAGCGCGGGCTGTCAGTCTGCCCGGCGGCCGGCCGCACTTCCGCCTCGGTGTCAGCGGGTCGCGGGCCTGCGGGGCGGGGGCGGGGTGGGCGGCGAGGCTCTGCAGGCGCCGGAGGGACCGCGGTCCAGGTGAGCGGCCCGGGACCTCGGCCCTGCGTCGGCGGGGTTCGCGCGGGCGTTGGGCGGGCGGGAGGCCGGGCGGGGCCGGGGGTTGGGGGGGAGGGGAACCGGGTCCCCGTGTCCACTGCCCGCCGGCCAGGCCCGGCCCCGGCCTCCGCTCCCCAACCCCGGCCCGACCCTCGCCTTCCGCCCCGCCGGCCCGCCAGCCCGCGGCCCCGGGGAAACTTGGGAGGAAAGTTGGCGGCGGGCGGGGGGCGGCGGCGGGGGCGCCGGAAGCCGGGTGGGCTGGGAGGCCGGAGCGCGCCTGCCGGCCCCTCTGGGGGTCGGGCGGGCGGGGGCGCGCTCGGGGGTCGCACGCGCGCAGCGCGGAGGGCAGCGCCCCGCGGGGACCCGGCCGCTCAGGCGACCACCTGTGGGAGGAGGGCTGGGGCGCCCCGCACCTGGCGGGCCGTCCGGCTGTCGTGCTGCGGGCGCTCCTGGTCCGGCTCGGATGTCACCCAAGTTAGACGTGAGCTCTGATGGCACAGGGAGCCTCCAGACTTGTTGAGTGCACGCGCAGTTCAGGGCCGCGGGCAGGCGCGGGGTCGGGCCTCCCGCCTGTGCTAAAGGAGAAGCTGGGGCCAGCACGGTGCTCCGGGGGAGCCGTGCTCACGTCCTCGAGTCTTCATCCTGAATGTCAGTCCAGGACCAGCTGCTGACCGACCGGAGCCAGCAGCTGCAGCGTTAGCCTCTTTTCAGGACCGCCTGGGCGCATCTGGAGTCCTGGCCTCGTTCAGTCGGTTCAGCAGGCATTTCTACCATGCCCGTCGCCTGCCTGGCCGCCTGCGGCCTGACCCCTCCAACTCAGTGGGGATGTTGGGAGGCCACAGCCCTGGGGCTCCAGGGGGACCCAGGTCCTTGTGGTTCCTTGCTGGGCAGCAAGGTGGAAGGCCCTTCCTGAGGTTGTCTGCTGGGCGGTGGTTTCCTGTCTCCCCTAGCTGCAGTTCCTTCCTCTGGGACATGTGTCATTTACCTGCAGGGCTGATGAGCAGATGACACGGTGGCACGTAGTAGGTGCTCCAGATGGCTAGTTCTCTTTCCTCTTGCTTCGGACAGGAACCTTACCGGCTGTACTTCCTCCTTGTCCAGCGCGGTGCGTGCATGGTGCTCAGTCCCTGAGAACATGACCGTGCAAGGATGATTGAGTCTCCCCGGTTGAATTTGCTTTTCCTGTTTGCATCACATGTCCTTGTGTTAATAACAGCTCCTAACTCAGGTGGCGTTAAAATGTAACAGTTGTTTTCCCAGGACTGCTGTGAGCATGTTAGATCCACTTCATTCGTGTGGTGCTGACATTCTTAGTGTATTCATGAGGAAGCTGAGGAACAGAGAGGTTAGGTGACTTACTCTAAGTCACATAGTAGTTGGTGAGGGAGCAGGGATTTGAACCCAAGTGGGCTGGCTTCAGAGTTTACACTCTTATATATCTCTCCGTATTGCCTTTTGAAACCAAAATTATTTACGATCTCCTCTTTGCATTTTCTTCTGGAATATTCTAATTGCGCTGCATTACTCTGTCTAAATTGTATTTCTTACAACATATATCCCCGATTTTCATTTTTTGTGAGCATGAGTGTTTATAAAACCATTTTATTTCTTGTAAAATAAAGTAATTCTCCATCCGGCTATCCCAGATTTTGCTGAAATAGCCCCCCTGCCGCCCAGCTCCTCGGTCAGCAGTGAGGTGGTTGAGGTCTGCTGCGTGGAAGGCCGGGTCAAAGGAGCAGGTTGATGATGGACACACGCCCAGAACTGCAAGGCTGTGGCCCGCACTCAGCTCTGAGCACACCTCCCGCGGCCGCTGTGCAGCATGCGCTTCAGGCGTTCCTGGTCCCAGGCGCGTGCAGGGGTCCGACTGGTGTTCTGTGTGCCGCTGTCTCATGGGCACCACCTGACTCTCACCGTCGTGTCCCTTAGCCATGCCTGTGCCCTCCGGGAAATGCAGGCAATGAGTCTTTTAAGATTTTATTACTTTCAGCTAATTATAAAAGTGACGTTTGCTTTTTGGTGGGGAAGTTTTTGAAACTTGCTATGTATTCTTGTACTGTCTTCACACAGGGGTCAGCTGTCTCTTGCAAGTGATTTCTTGAGTATTTCCGTGAAAAGCCAGGGCCTCGTCTTTTCCTGGGACTTTGTGGCGGCCATGGGGCAGGTGGGGCTCACAGTGAGGGAGAGCTGTGATGTCGGTCCTTGAGGTGGCCAGCATGTTGCGTTCAGGAGTTGGGTCATTCTGAAGGCGGTGGGGGCAGCGGGAAGTACCCTGGCAGGGGGCACGCAGGTTCTGGCTGTGGCACTCTGACCTGGGTGGGGGCAGGGTGACTTCTCTTTTTGTGCTTCCAGGGTCTGTGGCTGTAAATCGGGTTACTGTGAGGGATGTATGTGACAGTGTCGTGGCGAGTGCCTGGTATTGTCACAGGTGCTCCGCACACCTTCAATCCCTGACCGGAGACGGTTTACGTTGACCATGATGCACAGACACACATGGATGTGGGTTAGAAGTGAAGCCAAGGGCATCTTTGGTAGGCAGGGCTACGTCCTGTTGAAATGAGTTACCGTAAACTTTCTAGTTCCGACTATTGAGGTGAGGTTGTACAGGACTTATGCAAGCACCCCTGGCCCCGTGAGGATCCCTGTAACTCAGCAGAGGGCCCTGCACGCAGGTGGACGTAACCCTGCACTTCGCCGTTGGGGGCGGACACTGGGCTTAGTGTTGAGTGCGCATTGCCTCGTGAGCGGCTCAATTCTGAGCTTGGAGCACTGACTCGTAGCTTATTGAGACTGAGAAGGAGTTAGTGTTCGAACATGAGTGATTAATAAAAAGGACTTACGTCCTCAGGATTAGTATCTTAGGTTCTAGTATGTAGGTTCTTTAAACGCAGATTCCACGTATCAGTCCGCAGGGACTGATATGTGTGTCTCTGCTGTCGGTTTTGCTCTTTCAGAGTGTTTGATGTTGGAGTGCGTGGTGCTCGGGTTGGGGTCAAGCGCCGACTCAGAAGCATGGTGTGGGGTACGGCCCATCCCAGCAGCTCTCCTTAATAAACGTGTGGCTGAGAGCCACGTAGACTATCTGTGAACTTTATAGCGTTTTTCCCTTTTCTTTCCAAACTCAGAAAACAACTTTGGGTTATCTGGCAGAATTTCAAATCACCGTTCTTTCAACTGGATCTTCAGGTTACACAAATACTATAATCTTTGTGTTGAGCTAAACAGTGGAAGTAAGCCCTTACAAACAACTGTCTTGGGGCGCCCGGCTGGCTCAGTCACTAGAGCAGGCAACTCTTGATCTTGGGGTGGTGAGTTCCAAGCCCCAGGTTGGGCATAGAGATAACTTAAAGGGTTTTTTTTTTAAGATTTTATTTGAGAGAGAGCGAGATCACGAGCAGGGAGGGAGGGGTAGAGGGAGAAGCAGTCTCCCCAGTGAGCAGGGAGCCAGATTCGGGGCTCCATCCCAGGACCCTGGGATCATGACCTGAGCGCGAGGCAGATGCTTAACTGAATGAGCCATCCAGGTGCCCCAAAATAAAAAAAGAATCTTAAAAAAAAAATGAAAAGGGCTGTCATGAAGAAGCATGATGCTGGAAGACCCTGGCCTGCTGTGTGTCTGCTCGCTTCATGTTTCTGTCAAGGTAGTGCCTGCAGGGTTGTTTTGAGACACAGACTCTGGGATTAGTCCTGGCTGAACTGGGCCCTGGCTGCACAGCTGTGGGGCCTGACCAGGGTGGGGTGGAGGGTAGCGCTCTTCTGGGCATCATCCCACCAAGATGGTCTATTCTGGAAACTCTGGGTCCCTGGGTCCCTGGGTGCTCGGGATCTGGGGCCATCCCCAGGGCTGTGGCCTGTCAGCAGTGGGAACCGCCTGGGTGGACAGGCCTGACTGACCGCTGAGTTCATACCTTTACGAAGGGTTATAAGGTGCCCAGAGTAAGGCTTGTTCCAGGCTGGTGCAGGGGTTCTGGGGAGAGAGCGCGATATACGTGAGAATGGTCTGGAAGAGAGCTGTGGGAATCCAGATTCTAGAAAAAACTATGGCAGCCACGGGGCAGGGAAGGCTGTGTGTTTTACTGAACAAAAGAAGGCTGATCAAAGGCTGGTCGTGAGAAAAGTTGAGCTGCAGTCTGACACCCTGAGCCACCTGCTTGGCTGGAAAGTGACTTTTACTGCCTTAAAACCAGCGTGACTATATGATTTAACGTCCAACCTGGAAACCTGTAGAATGAAAAGAAGTATCGTGAAGAATGACCATGGTGACAGGTGCAGTGGGGAGCATGTGGTCACACTGTCAGGTACCGGAGAGGGAGAGGGATCCTGTTGAGTTAGGTACCGAGCACCTGTGTTCCAGGGACTCAGTACCCAGAGGGAGAGGACTGCAGGAGGGGTCCCCTGTGCTGGGGGCCAGCTCCCTGAGAGGTGCTGTGGCTTCTGTCTCTACTGTAGCTGGGCTTTGGGTGGAATGCTGATTCCTGTCAGGGTAGAAGCCTCCTGGGTTAGCATCATGGGGTTCTTAAACTGGCTTCTCATCGGAAAAACCTGGGGAGTTTTGTAAGAAGTGTAGGTTCAAGGCCCAGCCTCAGATCTCCTGGATCTGGGCTTCCAGGGATGTGTGTGGCCTCCTCCCATTATTCTGATGGGCCTGGTGTGGCAGGGGTTTGGGGTGGGGGGAGGATGCTCCCTGTAGATTCTTGGATTCTCAGCGCCCTGCACGGCGCTGCTGGCCTGGGGACTGCTTGACAGTTTTCTGTGAGCACAGCCCGTAGGCTGTGGTCGGAGCTCCCTGTCCAGAGTGTCCTCCTGCATTCTCTCGGGCTGCATGTTGGAACTCCTTTTTCCTGTGTCACAGAATGATGAGATGGATTAAAACAAACGTGTGTGCAAAAGCTGGCATTCATCCTTGGTGCTGGATTCTAAGCTCCTGTTCCTCGAAGTGTGTGATGTGTTTCTGGCGCTCGCTGTTGCATGATAAGCAGGTT